CAGTTGCTACATGCTCACATGATAAATGTTCTAATTGAAACCGTCTACAAGTGCAAGTTTTTTCATCCAAGTTAACAACAAAATTCATCGTGTTTTTTCTCACTTCATACATAAACTGATCGATCAATCGGCAACAAACGTCTTGGCTTTACCAACATTCTTACACAGTTTCTCTTCAACTATTGGCGTTAAAGTACTTGTGTAGCTCTTTGTATTTGCACGCCTCTCATAAAACCATTTTCGAAATCTTTTTCTAATACTTTCAATCAATACAAGTATCAAATTCTATCGATCTTTCTTAAACACCAAATTCAGTATCTCTGCATTATTCGATGTCATGATATTGTAACGGTTCCCCTGAAAGTGCGACTTGGCCCAAGTATGAAAATGTACTTTGACTAAATAATTCCAAGCTCTAATATCAATTCTCTCAATTTCGCTGATATAATTTGCAAACTCTTCTAAGTATATATGCCTTTGCTACTTTCTTAAAAAGTAGAAAAATCTCAATTTTTTTAGTTACTGTCCTTAAGTTACCTTTTATATGATATATGTAATGACCATGATGGGCATTTTTGATAGATAGCTTGAACTCAATTGATAATACTTGGATGTCGATCAGATATATCAACAAGATTTTCGATATCCCCCGTCACTTCTTTAAACTTCATAAAAAACCAAATTCATAATGCATCATTCTCAAAATCAACTATACCCCAAGCAAGAGGATAAATCTAAATATTTACATCTTGACAAGTAGCAACAATCAGCGTACCCTTATATTTTTCGATCAAAAATGTTCCATCAACAACAATTACCTTCAGCAATGAAGAGCAAAATCTGCAAATGCAAGGTTCGAGAGCCATAAAAAAGTACTTGAAGCGGTTCTCATTGTCAATCTCTAAGGACAATGTTGTTCCTGGATTAGTTCTAGCCAAATTATGAGAATAAAAGCCCAATTTACATAACTATCCTCAAGTAAACAAAACTTTTAAAGCATATTTTCGTGACTTCCGTACCCTCTGATGACTCATTTCTACACCGAATTCCTGACGCATGTCATTAATGACGTCCACAGGTCTATATACAGTGTTAGAATTTCAAAATTTAGGCATTATATGTCTTCCAACGACCCACGATCTTGCCTGTCTGTGATCATTTCAACAAATACTCACACACCAAGTACGTTCTCATGCATACATGCAAATTTGAAAGTAATCACAATTTTTTAATGTAGTTGCTAGCAAGCGTCATTTGCAATTTTCATCCATGAAAACAATTGTATAAACTTCCTTATTTGATTTTTTACTCTAAACTCAAAGTTGTACTTCGTTGCAAGCATGTGGACTTCCATCATAAGATCTTTTTTGGTGTTGAAAATTTGAAGATCTTCGAAATCTGCATCTTTGGGAATCACATGTGACAAAATTGCAAGCATGTGGACTTCCATCATAAGATCTTTTTTGGTGTTGAAAATTTGAAGATCTTCGAAATCTGCATCTTTGGGAATCACATGTGACAAAAGAGTTGAAGCTACAAGATGCTCATTAGTAAAAAAAAAAATTCTTGTCTATTGTTTTAAAGCATCTCGGATCCATGTGTAGAAAAACAATAGTGTTATCATTTTTAGTAATATCCACATCTTTGTCTTCGACTATCTCCAAGTCATCCCAATTAATATTCTTAGTCCAATCAACTTCATTGTTATCATTTGTTTGCATTTCACAATGAAGATTTCTGCCTTTATGTTGCATTTTAAAACGAACTTCATCATCTTCTACTTCATAAAATGAATCCTTGTCTTCTTCTTGTGGATAGTCAACTAGATCTTTGGTTACAAGAATTACAAAAATTGGACAATGAGAATTTCTTTTGTTGAAAGATAGCAACCACTGCACTTGCCTATCTGAAATAATTTTAATTGAAACTAAAAACTGTCAATTTGTAGGTAGAAGAAATCTCATCTCAATTTCATGTGAAGATGAATCAACTTTGCAAATGTTTAGCACTTCACAATACAGATCATGACATGAAATATCTAAAGATATTGGAACTCATTCCACCATTTTATCATCCTCGTTTCGTTTCCACATCCATTTTCCTTCATCATCATTAATAAAATCACCAAAATAAAATATGGCAATCCATGTTGCTGAGTCCATATCTTTAATTAGAATAGTAAGATTTTAGAAAGTTAAAAAATAATCAATTATTGTAATCTAAAGTGATTGAAGACGTTTCTATGATTGTTTTAAACGACTAAACAACCATAGTGGTTTAAAATCCTGGAGTCATTTAAAACGACCACAGTCGTTTAAAACGTCCATTCCAATTCTGTAACTAAAATTTACGAGATTCTACTTTTCAAAGTCACTTGAGATCGAAAAATGAATTCATATACTTAAATAAACAAAAATGATAATGAATATATATACAAATAAAAAAAAGATTAAAAAATAACTAAAAGTGAGAAGAATATCTTACCAATATAAAATGTAGAAAAATAAGGGTTTGTAGTTTGAATGTGCTTCTTTATATTTTGAGTAAAACTAGAAAAGAAAAATGAACAAAGAAGTAAAGATTGTAGATAAACTAAAGAAGAAAAAGAAGCTGGAATTTCTAAAAAACAAAACTAACAGTTATAATCTGAAAATTGGGCATTTTGACCATTATATACTAAGGGCATTTGGGATATTTCATCAACATGTGGAAAGATAAATCGGATATTTTCACATAAAAAAGGCGTCAAAAACTTTTTTATAGTAAGTTGGTCCTAAAATAGTTGTGAATTATTTGACTGGGCCATTTATAAAAATACCCCAAATGAAGTCGCCATCTTTTACTCCAAATTCGACCACCATACCGTCGACAAACCACCAGATTTCTACCCCACCAAAAACCTGTCATAACAGTTCCAAAATCAGATTAAATTTAGGCTAAAAACATGCCCTCAAATATGGTTTCAACATGAATTCCGGCAAACCCTTCAATACACATAGCCAAACTGCATTATAGGCTTCTCATACTAATCAAGGCGAGCTATCTCATGGTCCCATATCATCAAAAAACATTTTAAATCATATCGATTCTTCTCCCAGTTCAAAGGCAGCGAACCACGCATTTTGCATCCCAGATTTCGGTGTCGACATTGAGAATCATGGTTGAGCACCACCATCATCTTCTACTCATCATGGCGAACAAAATGCACATATGGGTCTTCGTCAATTTATCTCAAATCAGCCAATTAGTAAACTTGCATCTGATATGACTGAAATGCCACTCGACACTATTTCAACTGACCACCAAATCTACTCCAACCTACAAATCAACATGGGAAAATTGAAATTGATCATCAAACGACACTAATTAATCATTCACTTGCTAATATTACAGCTCTTGTTTGTCGAATTTTAGGCTTAAATGTTGACCTTCGAGCAATGCAAGTCTCCGGTCCAATTTCTTCTACTTCAGGATAGAATTTGCACAAATTGACACCACCATTAGATCTAGCAGGCCTACAAAACTTAGAAAGCACCTCTACTTTGGTTGAAAGTGATGCATTGGAATTTGTGCCATAGAAGATGCAAACAGATGTTGATGTACATTTGATTTCTATGCAAAATTTGCCCAATTTGATACCGCCATTGATCCCATAGCAATTGAAAACCCCTGGGAAACCTCCACTCCAACCAATGTCATCGAAATCTTACGTTGGCCCTAATTGGTTGCTTATGATGCATTGGGAAGCGTGTCAACTGGCACGCATAACGAGACAATTTTCTCTGTTGTTTCTAAATGGTTTGCGAATTTGAGTACTATCTCAGTGATTCTAGAGCATGGAAAGATCCTTAAGGTTAACCATATGGCTTCTAATAAGTCTCAGACTGCCTTAACCACAAATTCGAGTCTTCCTTCGCTACGTAGGCAACCACAACCAACACCACGGGGTAATACAACTATTCGTGCTACACCCACTGGTCCGAAGTCTTATGCTGCTACAATAGGTAATGTGCAAGTTATCTCTTAGGAGAAAAAAGAGTTAGAGGAAATCTTTTGCTCATGTTTTTAGAGCACCACAAGAATTTACTGGTCATAGGCTTGTATCAAGAGAGCCCTTCATTCATCACGATGAGCCTGCAGTCCTATTTATGGAGTTAGATGAGGATATTCTAGTTGTGCCATACAAGTTTACGCTTGTTGGCAAATTTGTGCACCATAGGCCATCTATGGTTAAGGTGCGTGATAATTTCTCGCATTTTAGATTTCGTGGTGATTATACTATTCGCTTGATTGGTGCGACTCACACTCTGATTCATTTAGAGTACAAAGATGATTACACAGTTATTTTTCAAACCCACATGTTACATTGATGGTTCTCCTATGAGAGTCTCTAAATGGACTCCAAGTTTTAGTTCACAATAGGAAACCCCTATTGCTTCAATCTGGGCATCGTTTCCCTACTACCCATTCATTATTGGGCTAAGAGCAGTCTCTATGCTAATGCTAAGGCAATTAGCTTACTTTTTCGTATTGATAAGGCGGCTTCTAATCTTCGTCGTCCCAATGAGACTATAGTATGTGTAGAGATAAATTTGGATTATGATCTCTCTGAAAAAATTTGGATTGAGTGGGAGAAGCTCAATGGCTGCTGGCAGGCTGTCTTGTATGACAAGAAGTCGAAACTTTGTTACAGATGTAGACATATTGGGCACACGGATGATCACTGTACGCTTGGTATACGACATGTACCATCTCTCATGTCCCTATTGTTCCTGATGTTGACCCTACTCCTCAACCAACTATCCCGGCTAAGGATAAGGGTAAGGAAAATGTGGTTGAGGCTTAACCCATTCAGAGGTAAACCCTTGTTCGTAAGAATCGAAAGAGATAACACACTGCCAGCACTTCAAGTGCCCATGTTCCTTAGATAGTTTTAGCTATAGTCAGTGTTGCCCTCCTCTTTCTACGTATTATACATAACTAGAGATATACAACTGCATCGTCGATATCTCCTACAGTTAGCACCGCTCCACCAACTATTAGCTTAGTTGCTCCTCAAGCAGGATTACTCAAATTATTGTTCTAAGTTATATGGATACACCCTTGAGTACTCTTTGAGTTCAGTTGGATGCAACATCAGTTGCAGTTCCAGTGATTCAATCAGTCGCTCCTATAGTGGATCAGTTAGCTGTCTTGATCGAAATCAATCATTCAATCTTCACTACACCAACTCTGACTCCATCATAGATTGCCATTCATGTCCCTCATACTTACCTAGATCCCTTAGCTCATGATATGCGTTAGTGACCGCTTGTACTAGTTGACTCAGAGATTACAACTACAATGGTCAGATAATTACCAGGTTTATACTTTATCGCACTGATGCCCCTATTTGTCAACAAAACATAGAGGCTTATATTCCTTCTCTGCATTATGAACAGTCAGATACAGAGAATATATCATTGATTGAGGTACACCAACAGGATGGACGAGGATAACGGCTACATTTGAGTTATACGAAAGAAGTACCTGCGGGTTACTGATGTTGCACATCTGAGCAGAAGGGTGCCATCATATGGTATGTGAGAGATATAGCTAGTATCGCTTCTTGCAGACCCCTAAAGAGACTAATTCAGCTTCATCAGGTTAGTATCTTGGTTATACTGGAGCCTTTTGTTCTTCAGCACAGGTTTGCATATATTCAATGATATTTGGGCTTTGATACTGGAGTTCAGAATGAATCGAAAAAAATCTATTTTTTTTTTTTGGAATGTAGGGACTATACTGTTACTGTTATTCATGATCATTCCCAGTTCCTTCACGTTAAAGTTGAGGATCCCAGATTAGCTTGTCCAATCTATATAATCCCTGTCTATGCCTCATGTGATGCTGCTACCAGGAGGGACTTCACCACATTTTCCTCCAAATGAAGGATCCTTGGCTAGTTGGAGGAAACTTTAACGTTATTGCACATGAGAGTGATCGCACTGGTCGCAGCACTCGTGATCGGGGTTCTATTACTTTCTTTGATATGATGTTGTATTGTGGGTTGGAGAATGCTGGTTTTTGCAGGAGTCGGTATACTTGGACCAATGGCCAGGTAATGAAAAGATTTGATAGAGTTTTGGTCAACTTTACAGCTGCAGCTTTTTTTTGACAGCTTGTTATGAGACATCTAAATCAAACTTTATCAAATCATTCTTCTTTGTTTCTACAGTGGACATCTAATGATGATTTAAGGCCCAGTCCCTTTCGATTCCTCAATGTATAGACAAAGCACCATGATTTCTTAGCCTTCATCTCTCAAAGTAGTCACTCCTGACTCATCTAACGAGGATGGCTGCTCTCTGGGAGAAGTTTTTTAGGCTGAAACAGGGTCTGCATTAGTGGAAACAACGGGTATTCGGTGATATTTTCCAACGGGTGAGAAAGGCTGAAGAGAAGGTCGACGAGGTAAAGATTGATTTTGATAATGACCTTGCACCTGAGCATTGTGATTTATTTCATTGGAAATAGGTTGTTCTGAACTCGACTTTATCTATTGAGGAAAAATAGAAGGCCGGTTCACGTTAGGTATGTGAGTGGGACCATAACACCCGATACTTTCACGCGATGGTTCAAGAACATAGAACCAGATCTCGTATCTAGACTCAGGTAGGAGAAGTCTTATCTTCTGCTACTGACATTCAGAGGTCTATATTATCTGCTCCCTCACAGCCCCTGGATCCTATCCATCTAAACATCATACTCAGGCTGTTGATGGAGGCAGATAATATAGCACTCAACCGTCTCCCTTTGATTCAGGGGTGCGAGAGATAGTCTTCAGTATTGATGCTAATAATATTATAGGCCTAAATGGATTTTCATCACTATTCTTCTAGCATTGTTAAGATATCATACAGGAGGATGTTTACAATGCGCTCATTGATTTCTTCAAGGATGGTCATCTATGTTTTACCGATACCTCCATTGTTTTGCTCCCGAAAAGGGATAATGCTTGTCGATGGATAGATTTTAGACCTATCAGCCTTTGTATGATGTTCAATAAGTTGATCACTAAGCTATTGAAAACAAGATTGAGTTCATTGTTGCCTCGTATTATCTCTCCTTAGCAGAGTGGTTTTATCCCCCGTCTCCTTATAGGGGATAATGTGTTATTGACTTAGGAGCTTCTTCACACTAGATGATAAAGTGCAATGGGGGAATGCGATGTTGAAACTTGACATGGCTATAGCATACAACCGTATGGGTTGAGGATTCATTTATTCTATACTAGAGGTGTTTGGATTTGATCGATTATAGCTTGACAGGATCAGACAGTGCCTTTTTGGAGTGTCAATACTCAGTGCTTCTAAATGGCCATCCTTGTGGTTTCGTTCTATCCTCATGTGGGCTTAGACAAGGTGATCCCATCTACTTTGTTCATTGTTGCTGCGAACTATTTCTCTCTCCTTCTCACTTAGAGGTTTTAGGCCTATCCTAGTATGCGGTATCGACATGGAGACGGCACTCTTATCTCATACCTTTCTTTGCTGATGAAATGATCATATCGTCAATGGCCAAAAATAGTCTATCCAGATAGTCCTTGACTATTTGGAGTATTACGAAAGGGTTTTTGGTCAGTTAGAGAATAGAGACAAGAGCGGCCTTATACTACCTAGACGGGCATTAGATATTAGGATTGGGAAACTTGTGTTCTTGACCGAGTTTACTCATCAGCAATAGCCGTTTATTTATTTGGGAGTCTCCTTGTTTTAGGGGGTAAGAGGAGTTTTTTTATATGATGACCTTATCATGAAGGTCAAGAGCAGGACATCGAGTTGGGCTTCTCAACTACTATCACATGGGGCCAAATTACTCTATTGAGATCGGTACTATCATCTCTACCACTTTATCTTTTTCAGATTATGCAACCTCCTAAGGCTGTACTAAAAAAGTTGGAGAGCATCTTTGTATACGTCCTATGGTATTCTAAGAAATAGGCATGTTGACTAAACTGGAGGAGCTAGAAGGATAATTGTCTACCAACAGACGAAGGTTGACTAGGCTTTAGAAAACTACAGGATGTGATGGACACTTTCTCTATGAAGCTTTGGCGGTTGTTTCGGCCTTGGAGTTCTCTTTGGGCTTAGTTTTACTGGCCAAATATTGTAGATGGACTCATCCATCACTTGTAGTGATTACCTACTCGATATCTCTTACCTAGAAATGGTTAAAGAAAGTAGCACTAGATACTGAGTCACACATTGCATTGTACCTTGGAGCAAGACAGATGTTCTTCTGGCATGATTGCTAGATGGGTGATACTACAGTGGCATCTCTATTTCCAAACAAGTAGCACACATCTGCGAGGGTGCAGAATTTTCTTGATGACACTAGGTAGGATTTTGGAAGATTATTACAGGCTTTATCTCCTCACATGGTAAAGCAAATAGGGCGATACCTTTATGTGCAGGTGCCTTGGACCATATTGTTTAGAGGATTACATCGAATGGTAGCTTTGCTACTAACTCAGTATGGCAGCTAATCCATTCAGTTTACCAATCTCAGGACTTATATCGATTACTGTGGAGCTCCATTTTGCCTATCTCTATTTCATTCTTCTATTGGAGATTATGGAAAGATCTCATTCCAGTAGATGTAGTCATTTAGAGGAGGATTGGATGTTAGTTCACTTCTCGATGTCAATGTTGCTCTGAGATTAAGACCTTCAGTCATATCTTCACTGCCAGTAACATCTTCGATCAGGTATGGCAGCACTTTGAAGACATTTTTAAGATACCTATGAGATCAAGAGAGGAGGTCAGATAGAGTTTCCAAAGACAAAGGTATTCTACACAGTATGTTCGCTGTGGACACATTTGCACTATCATTCCTCTACCGATATTTTGGTTCTTATGGACCAAAATGATGTGAAACATTAGGAGATCTGCATGGTGGCTAAATGGATTACTTGGAGTGTATACTACATGGTTTCTTTTCTTCATATGCGAGGACTTTTAAAGTTGTACAATGACGATGGGACTTAACACTTGCACCACTCTTTGGTATTTCTATGACTCTCTCCCCTCCACAACACCTATTATAGTTGTTTGGCGCACCCCACTAGTAGGATCTTATAAAATTAACACTGATGGAATCGTCAAGGATGGATTTACGAGTGGTAAAGCATCATTATGGATCACAGGGGACACTGTATCAGGGCATTCTCAGCATCGCATGGCCCATGTTTGATTTCGGAAGTTAAGCTCAGAGCTATGCTAAATGGAATTCTACTGGCCAATGGAATTAGGTTATCAACTATTTAGGTTGAGGCAGATTCAACAGTGGCTATTCACTTTATCACTAGGGACGGATGACCATGGAAGATTTATGGCACTCGTAGACTGATTAGAGACCTCATCTCCTTTGATAGCTATATAGTTTTCTACATCTACAAAGAAGGGAACTAGGTTGCAGACTCACTTACTTTAGAAGGTTAGGATCACCTACGCTATTAGGAGTATGGATCATCCGACCTACCACAACAGATTAGGACACTGGTGCAGCTTGACAGATATGGACTGTCAAGCTTTGGAGGTTTGTAGCTTAGGTTCCATTTTTTGCATTAATTTCGTTGTACAGGAAAGTAGTACTTCTCTATTTATTTCTTTAATTTCTTTTTTATTCACTTTTTGTATTGTTTCTTTTTCGAAGGTTAAGTTTATGTCCATATATATATAAAGATGTGTGGATGTCTTTATTAAAAAAAACACAAGAATAAGTAAAGAAACGATAAGTTTTGAATTAAAAACTATAATTTAATGATTTCATCTTCTATCTAATACATAAAATTGTCTAACCTAGCATTTTCGTGTAAAAATTACACAAAAGAATAAGAAACAACATCACCTAAGACAAGGAATACTATAAAGAAACCGAACCTCCAATTCTTCACTTTAAACTTCGATTTGTGATTTGAAATTTTGCCTCTTGAATATAGACTCTCTCTTCAATGCTCAAACAATGCTAAAACCAACCTATGCTAATTTATGGATGTCCCTTAGTTCTTATAGAATGTAATCTTAGAATGCAAAAGATTACATTCTAATACTTTCCAAAGAAAAGGAAATTGATATTTTTTCTATTTTCAATAATGGGCACACGCCTAGCCATGTAAACGAGTCGAGCCTAATCGGCCCATGAGCCAAGACTCGAGACTCATTTATGGCTCATGCAAAAAATGGCTAGGGCTTTTTTGGCCTGAACCGAGCCAAAGCTATGATGAAAAATCGAGGCTTCGCTCAAGCTTTAGGCTTGGTTCAGGCTGGCTCTCTCTTTTTAATTTCATGAAATTCTAAATTCTTTTTACTAATATAAATTTTATGCAATTTATACTTAATATAAATTAAAAAGAGTTACAACCCTCCTTATTTCGAGCTTGAGACCAACTGCAATCAACATAGACAGAGTTAAAATTGTACACAAATATAATATTTCGTGTATAATTTTTTTTAAGTAAATAAATTTAGAAATTATGTAATAAAGTCAACAAATTAATTTCAAAACTTGAAATATCCTATCCTTGGATCTACTGCAACTCCTTAACCATTATACTGTCAACTTGTTCTTGAAGATGTAAATTGAATATCAAATCCAATCAAAGAGTAGTACGTAGCTATCAACAACTACTTGCAAGCTACCTTGTTGGTAGCTACATGCTTCCTGCTTGCAAGCAAGATTCAAAAGGCAACTACTACAGCTGCCTGTAGAATCGCGGGCAAAAAAATTTTTAGCTTGTCACACGTGTCGGCTCAGACTTGGACTGATGCGAACCCCGTAGCAATGAAAACTACAAAACCCACAATGAGATTGATGCAGAACTCAAGAACACCAATACTAACCCGATTTTCGATCTTGAACCCCAAGAATTAAACCAAGAACCCTAGATTAGCGAAGAACCTAAAACCCCTTGATTACAATTGAAAGAACCCACAATCCGATTGATAGAACGCCACAAGAAGTTGAATTCTTGATAAGTTCCAAGATTGTTCAAGAAGAACAATTAAATTGAAAGAAGAAATTTCTCTCTCTATAATATTAATTCAAAGTCAAAAGTTCAAAGGTTTTTACAATCAAAAGTAATCTCCTATTTATACTATTCCTCGAATAGAAGTCAAAAGGAAATATAATTCTAATAATCTAACAAAATTCCTAAAATATTCGTCCAATATGGTAGGAATTTGATTAAGAATGAAATTCTAGTAAAATTAGGAAAAACGTGGAAAAAAGGAAAATCGCCCCAGAAATGAACCATGCTGTCGCATGGTTATAACTCGTGCTGCCGCATGGTAATAAAATTTCGGCCATTGAATTCTCGGTATCATGTCGTGTGGCCGCATAGTACTACCGCATGGTTATACTGTCCACTCTCTTCTTCGGCTTCTTGTAATGCATTGATCCATTTTGTTTCG